TGTATTTATGTTCTCGTGTGGTGTGATTGTTTAGTGTTTGTAAGTTATGTTTGTACTTGTCGTGTTAGTTTTGAAGAACGCATTATTAATTATGGTCGGTTGTTTCTTGTGAGAACTCAGGTCTAGCCTTGGTTAACTAAATTCGCACGATTAAAATCAAGAAACGAATTAGTGTCTGTGTGCCTGTGTCTGGTAGGAAGTTATGTAGGGTCCTTAAAAAATAAAAAAAAAAAAAAAAAAAAAATAAAAAAAAAAAAAAAAAATCAACACACCGTTCATTGATCATGCTAGGGGATACATGTATTCGTACTTACACAACACTCACCTATTGATGGCAACAATAGCCCAACGCTATCGGAGAGAGAGGAAAACAAAACAAAATCAATTTAAAAAAAAAAAAAAATAATATCTCTGTATAATTTTATAATGGAGTTTATTGGTGTACAGTGTTTTTCTTTGGCTTTTTGGCGTTTTGGGTTGAATACAGTGGGTTGTGGATAACGTGGTGTGTTTCTGTTGAAGAAGGAGGTTTTTGTGGTTTTTTAATTGGTATTTATGGTGTTTCTTTGTTCCTGAGGTCGTATTTGTGAGGTTGCTTGCGGTTTTTTGGTGGGAGATATTGCAGTATATTTGTGAGCCTGTGGTGCTGTTAAGGTTTTTTTGCGTTTCGGGTTGTTAATACGAGTGGGTTGTTTCTAGAAGAAGGGAGTATTGTGTTTTTTTAACGTGGCTAGGGCGTGTAAAACGCTTTATATGGAATGGACCTGGTCTTTGTAGTGACATGTTGCGTTACTTGTGTTTATGGGTGTTTCTTTGTTCTTGAAGGTTGTATTTGGGGGTGAACGGTTGCTTGGTTTTGGATGGGAAGATATTTACGGTACTGTTTGTTGAAGCCTAGTAGTTGCTGTATAGGTTTTTTTGCGTTTGGTTTGAATACGAAGTGGGTTGTGATAAACGTGGTGTGCTTCGGGGTGAAGAAGGAGTTTGTGTGTTTTTTAATTGTGCTAGGCGTGTAACTTTATTTCGGTGCCCTGATTTGTCGTGTGTCAATGTAGGTTGTATTTATGATGTTTTTTGTTCTGAGGTTGTATTTGTGAAGTTGCTTGGGTTTTTGGTGGAATATTTTAAGTATGTTGTGACCTGTATTTCTGTTAAGGTTTTTGCGTTTTCGGTTGAATACGAGTGGGTTGGGTGAAAATGTGGTATAGTGTTCTGTGAAGAGAGTTTGTGTTTTTTAAATGTGCTAAGGGCGGTGGTAACTTTATTGGATGGACCTGTCTTTGTTAGTGCATGTTGCGTTACTTGTATTTATGGTGTTTCTTTGTTCTTGAAGTTGTATTTCTGTTGTTGCATGGTTATTGGTGGAGACATTACAGTATTTTGTGAAGCCTGTAGTGCTGTTAAGGTTGTTGCGTTTGGGTTGTGTTTTGTGAATAACGTGGTGTGTTTTCCTGAGAAGGAAAGAGTAATTGGTGTTTTTTAGCTGTTGGCTAGCCGTGTGGGTGAGGGCGTCTTTGTAGTGCGTGTTGCTTACTTGTATTTATGCGTTTGTTTGTTCAGAAGTTTTGTGTTTGTGGTGGTTGTTGAGTTAAGGGTGGAGATAAATTACAGTATGTGTTGTGTCATGGTTGTGAAGTCTAAAAGTGCTGTTTAGGCTTTTGCGTTTGGGTTGAAATACTAATGGGTTGTGATAATGTGGTTTGCTTCAGAGGTGAATCTCTGAATGTAGTATAATGTTGTATCATCTGTTTGTACATTGTTTGTTCGAGTAAGTTGTATTTGTGTGCTTGTTTGGGTTAGAGGTGGGAGATATTACACGTATGTTGTGTACCGGTGTTGGCGAGTACGTGTTGTTTACACTGTATACGTTGTGGATCATTTTCTGTATGTAGTATCTTGGTGTTATGTTTTAGAAAATTTACGAAAACATATGGCATGGTGTTGATAATGACTGCTTTTTTGTAAATGTTTGTATGTGTTTTGTCTAAACCTAATAGTTGTAAATTGTGGTGTATTGTCCTTTGGTATAACTCCAGTAGCCAACTAAGAATATGGGAAGCTATAACAGTAGATTTCATTCTCACATTGCGTCTTAAGCTCGAATAGCTATATCGTGTATTTGGGTGTTTTTTCTGCATGTGTTTTATTAAGTTGTTAGTGTTGGGGTGGCAATGTCATGAATTACAAATGGATTTTTGTGTTTTTTATCTATAAGTGTAAATGTTCGGTCCCTAATTATTGTGGATAAGTTTTATCTGTGGAGTAGTGTTCTGTCCCAATATAATTTTGTGTGTGTTGTTTTCGAGATGATCTGTGGCGTGTATCACACAATGGGCACAAAAGGCCAACGACTATCAGGAAAGAGGGAAACAAAACAAAACAAAAATCATTATAAATACTTCCTGTAATTTTATTAAAATGGAGTTTTATTGTGTAAGTGTTTTCTTTGGCTTTGGCCGTTTGGGGTTGAATACGAGTGGGTTGTGATAACGTGGTGTTCTTCGTGAGGAATGGAGTTTTGTGTTTTTTAACTTTGTGGCTAGGACCGTGGTAACTTTATTGGGTGATTATTATTATTATTATTATTATTATGGTCCGTGTTTCTTGTGAAACTCAGGTCTAGCTCTGGTTAACTAAATCGCACGGATTAAAATCAAGTAACGATCAGTGTCTGTGTCTGTTGTCTGGTGAAGTTATGTAGGGTCCTAAAAAAAAAAAAAAAAAAAAAAAAAAAATCACCATGGGCACAGTAAGCAACGG